TGAGAAAGAAACAGATTTTGAGGTCCAGCTGAAAAGATACACGTTGATCTAACCAAGACTAGCATTTTCAATAAACTTATACAGTCAAAATACGTTAATCCGTACTCGTCCGGACTTCGGCGATTCCGGATTATCGATTTTTCCGTATTATAGATCATCAGTTTAAATCTGGTAAGATGGCATGCAGAAATTATACAATTGAAAATATGAAACCGTAATTTATGAAATAAAGAGCAATTATGATCTAAAGGGTATCAAAATACAAAAAAAAAAAGCTTAATATTTATTTTTTACTTTATTAAACATTTCTTTCAATGTAAGTTGTTTAAGTTGTTTGTTTTATTTGATAATACTTTCTCTTTAATTCTATAAACACATAATTTCTTGTTCAGTTACAAAGTTCCACTGTTCAAGTCCTGTAATTGCTGTGTCGAGAATACCGACTAATTTGTCAATCGAAATTTTTTCGTTTTCAATAACCTCTGTGTCACTTTCTTCACTATCAGAAGCAAATTATAATGACGAGGAATTTGATTTAAATGATATCAAAAGAATACATGAGATGAAATACTACATTTATAAGGAATTATAGCAATAAAATAAAAACATTCCCTGAAGATAAGGCTAAGTGCTGACAGATAAATTCCTGTTATTGCACTCCGCGTTTCCCCCCGCCAAGTAGCGTTGATAAACACGGAATGATTATCATTTTTTTGCAATTCCACTTTTGTTTTAATGGAACAAACATTCTTTGGCTTTTATTAGTAAAATATATGGAATTCTTTGACATAATCGAAAAATCAAGCTTACTTTATAAAATTGCTCTAACAGTCTGCAAAAAATAATAAGCCGGATCAATTCGAAGATTAAGGTAAAACACTCTGCACCATCACTGAATTAGAAATTTAGCTAGCTTTAGCGTCCATTATACAGAACTCGCTGCGTAAACGTATTTTTCATAATGCATACACGCATATTTGCAGCCTGAAGTCTTACTCTACATGCGTCAAGTACGCTGCGCAGAAAGTCGAGTAGCTTTGAGGTCCGGATTATGGGTGTATGAATTAACGACTTTTGATTGTACTCATATTTCACCGATGTCTAACTATACAAACATTTTCCTGACAAACTCACAGAAATATGTCTATGACACAGTTATCTTCAATATTTTCTAAATAACATAAAATTCCACAATGCTCAGATGACACGCCAGAAGTTATAAATACTGGGTTATAAAGTTTTGCTTTATCTTTTTTATAGTCCAGATCTTTCTTTGGCTCTACTCTTATATAGGGCCTAATCTAACCAAACGTGGTGATATGTCTTCTGCACTGGTTTTTGGCACGATTGCGTGTTGTATGACAACCCTGTTGACATTGAAAAATCTTTTGCTGGAGTAATTTAACTGCTCATCGGTTTGTGTTGTGCGTGTTTTGAAATAGCCTATGTTGCAATGAGAGACATGGTGGCAAGATTTCAATCGCATATTTTAGATTGTATGGAAAGGAAATTTAGTATTAATAGGTTCGATGTTGGAGTTGTTAACGAGTCTGCTCTGTGTCTGAGAAGACAGAGGGGAAAGATAAAGTGGTGGAAGTTGATGAATCAAAGTTTGTAAAAAGGAAATATCGTGGCCATCCTGTTGAGGGGCAGTGGGCATTTGGAGGTGTGGAATAAGGATCTGGGAGATTATTTTTAGTGGCTGTGCACGATAGAAGTAGGGAAACGCTGACGCAGTGTATTAAAGAGTGGATTCAGCCTGGTACAACTATTTTTTCGAATGGACGGAAATCTTACACGGATTTAGGAAAAGAAGGTTATGAACATTTATTTGTGAACCATAGTATGAATTTTCTGGATAGTGTGTCTGGCTGTTATATAGGATAGTGATTACGTGGCAGCATGTTAAAGGCAGTGTGAAATTGGTATTTCTGCTGTTCGAAAAAGCATTCATTCATGATAAGTGCATTTTATTTTATTCTTGCTCTAATTTTGTAGAACGTTATGTTCATTTTTTTTTAGTATGAATTTCTGTCGTTATTGTTGCTTTTTTGAATTGTTTGAAATTTATTTTAGTTTATTTTGTATTAGTGCGTTCCTAAATTGTGCAATGTAGAGTTTTTAAAAGTTGAACATAATGCTGTGTTGTGGTTTCTTTGAAATTTTCTGTTTTATGTTATTTATTAAAGCGAGGTGTGCGTAGTTGTTCCTAAATTGGCAATTCGTAGTTTTTTTTCAAGTTTAAACAGGATGCTGTGTACATGGATTCTTTGAAATTTATTGTTGTTATGTTAATTTATTAAGCGAGGTGTGCATATTGTAGATTCATCATGCCTAGATTGTGCAATTCGATTTTTTTTTTTTAATTAAACATATTGCTTGTACATGGATTCTTGTCAAATATTTCTGGTTAGAAACTTTATTTTTTTGCTATCTAATTTTTTTGTTTTTGTTTCGGATTTTTAGCTTAAATTATGTGTTCAAAACGTGGTTTTTGGAGACATTTTTGGCTTAAAGTTCAAAATGTAGACAAAAGATTTAGATAGTTATATGGCAGCATGGAGTTTCTCGCCAAACATTTTTGATGAGAAATTTGGCGACGTGAGGGGGCATATAACAGTAGTTCCCTTTCATTAATAAAAAACTAAAAAGCCATGTTTCCTAATAACCAAGCTTTTCTTTATTAAATCAAAATGAATGAGGGGCAGGCAGACTTCATTTCCAGGCCAGCTTGATTCAAGAAAGATCTGAAATCTACTTAAATGTTAGCAGAACATCAACATATACAAAAGTTACTTTTCACAATATCCAAAATTTAGTTCTGTATAAAATAAGCATTTATCATACTGCTTCTAAGATGGTAAGAATTTCACTAGTAACCCAGTAATTCAAAAAATAAGATTATGCCATGCTACTCAAACCACTATATAATAAAAATTTACATCCTGTATAAAGCAGGATACAAGCATATAAAACAAGGAGTAATAATAATAATAATAGCATTCACCAAATGAATGCATAAAAAATATATTTATAATATTTTTGTAATTTTATGTTCAATTAACCATACCCATGATTTTTGTTATCTGGTTTATCAAACTTATTGGGCTATTTTCTCAATATGTCTTATTTCATTTTTTCTTACCAAAGATTTCATACTTTTTGGATATAACAGGCAGTTGATTATTATTTTGTTAATGTCATTAGAATAAACAAACTGCCCTTTTAGATTAATGATTAATTTTTAAAATTTTAATATTGGTATTTATAAAAGATTCAGTTATTAGAATTGCAATTTTAGATTAATGATTAATTTTTTAAATTTTAGTATTGGTATTTATACAAGATTCAGTTATTAGGAGTATTCAACTAAGATTGAAGATAATAACATACCAGCAGCTTTGATCCATCAATATGCCTCATTTCAAATGCTGGAATACAGTCATCAAGATGAACCTTTAAAAAGAAAATATACCTATAATAAATGCTGGATAATCTTAATAATACATCGTCTTCATAAAAATATATACATGCTGCACACATGTAGAAAACAGGATATTTTCTCTTAAACAACACTGTCTCCAAAACATGCTAGAATGCCGTGTTGACTAATTTTAGCAGCGAAAATCTTCAAAATTGAACTTATCTCTTTAATCATTAATTTCATATAGCAATGATATCAAGGTCTGTCACTTATACAAATAACTTTCAATAACAAAATGACAATCACAACAGCTAAAAAAACAAGGATGAAAAAAATTAAGACAAATTATAATTTGGCTGCAATTTTGATTAATCATAGTCAGATAAGTACAGATATTTAACGATTACTGATATATGTTAATTAGAGCAATGTTAATATGATAATCTAAAACTAACACTCGTAATAACTTTATTCGTATATTTACTTCTTAAGGAGCGTAACTACAGACATGAAAAAATATGTTTTTGCTGTATATAATTTATACTATAATGAAACTGAATAAAAAGTGGAAATCTGAAGGCGAAACAATCTGACAAGGACAAAAAGAGACTTCTGATATTTTTTATCAACTAAAAAATAAATAATATGCTAATAACCTTAAGTAGTTAAAAATATAAACAAATAGCCACTAAAACAATATATCATTTATTAAATATTTCACGAACAAATATAGGAACATATGGGTTTGTATCATGATTAACAGATATTTATTTTACCTTTTTCAGCCATCTAATCACTTTATCCTCATTCCAGTGAGCAACAACAGAATGATGAGGAAGAGAAATTTTACCAGCCATATTTTAAAATTAATAAAAGGCAGCAAAAGACATTGCAAGAAATTCTGATTACTTTCTTTGATTATTCATAAAATAAGTGGTTCAACAATATATTATTCGCTATCTTCATCACTTCCCTGAATAGAAATACTCTGTGATTAATTTTCTCATCGCAGATAAGACCAATAAGAAAGATAATAGCGCTATAGACTGTTATAAAAAACGCGACATTTTGAAGAAATATTTAATATTTAAATTATGATATACATAAACCGATCGTATTCAATGCTGAAAAAATAACCATATGTCAGAAGTACTTTAGCGCACAATTTCGAAATTTTGTCATGATTGACAACATGGGAGTGTCCACAGTCAATACTTCCGCCACATGGCTGTCAACTTCCGGAAAAACAATCCTGGCTATATAACCGATAAGCAAATCAAAAATTATTATTTTCCTTAAATATTTATATCACTCTGTTTTATAAAAAATTAATATAAAGAATAAGCAATCAGAATAATACTAAAAACACTTTTAATTTTTCATAATAATAATGAGTTAATATAGTCATCTTATTTTTCCATATAATAACTATAAAAAACTGAATATTGAAATAAGACAAACGATTAACTTTTCATTTAAATTGTTTACTTAAGCATATTTTTTCTTCATATATATGAAAATAATTTTGCATTTACAAAGCTTCCTCTTTTCAGATCAGTCTTTCCTGGTAGCAAAACAATATGGAGGAAAACGATGATGGGAAAGAGGAAAAAGTGGATACATGTGATGCGGATATTAAAATCATGAATGACGGAGATAGGTTAGCTCGAGTTGCAGAAGTTTTAATCGAAAAGCAGTATGATAAACTGAAGATAGATGCTATAATTTCATCGGAAAGGGAAATGACCCCCGAATGTCATGGAGTAGCAAGCGTTAAAGGTACCAGACGTAACTTAACCGGTTTTAAATAGTCTTAAGTGTTTTTTTCCTATATACGAATAAAAATTATACATGCATTTTGCTTTATTTTTCTTATGTTTAGGAACTGTATTCGTTTTCGTATAAAAATTAATGTTTAATTATTTATCTAAATAGCATTTATTAATTACATGCATATTAAAATCTCTAGATATATATTAGTGTGTTATAAATTTTTATATTCATGGATCAGCAGATTATTTTTGAGGCGCATGCTTTGCTTTACTTTGGCTACACTGATAATAAACAATGATCACTATTAGTAAACATAAAATAAAAGAAGTAACAAAACTAGTGCATTGAGTTATGTTTGGTATAAAATGAGAATTTCTTAACTGTCTTCGCGAAATGAGTTTTGTTATTTGCATGAATATGCTGTTTAATTTGAGATATTTTCAGGAAAGTAATTTATTGCAGTCACGTTTTTGTTGGTGAATGTATGTGACATTTATTTTGACGGTTTTTTGGTGATTTAAATTATCAAAATACAATATTCCCCCACCCCAGAATACTGGGAAATTATTGTTGTTTTCAAATGTTACTTCTGGGTACAGAACAGCACTACTGAAATACTTTACAAATTTGAATTTTGATATCTGACATCATCTGAAACCCTAAATTTTTAATTTTTACAAAAAATTAGGATAATTATTTATTATTTTTAGATTTTACCAAACAATTAAGATAGTTTTTATTACTGCATACGTGCCTTGCTGGCTGGAAATAATAGTATGTCAAACTTCCTAAATGATACAAATTTATACTTTTTCATATAAAAATTTCAAGCTAGCAGATATATACCCTATGTGTTAAAGAAAAGAAATTAAGGTTAATCTTTGGATTATGGTAACTTGGGGGTTTGTTGGCGAAAATTTGGCGACCAACCCTGCTGCAGCAACCTGCTAGTTTTGTTTCGGATGCCATTTTGTTTTCACGAAGCAAAGGCATGTTTTTTTTTACTCAATATTTTTTCCAACAATCTGCTAGCTGAATTACGCTCATACTAGAACTTTTATGGAACAAAAATGCTTAATCATGACAAAATTAGGTGCGAAATTGGAAGAAAGTGCAGAATCACCCACTGCTTGCCGCGTTTTTAAGAATTGCACATACGCGATATCATCCGTGTACACGTCGACCTATTTTCACTTAAAAAAAATCCCAGAATTGCACAAAAATGGCATTGTGCACACTCTTGACTTTATCCATGTACACCTGCTAAAGTCCTAGCTAGTAACCTTTATCGCCTTACCAAAATGTCGCCAAACTACCTGTTTCCATATTCCAAAGATTAGCCGAAATTAATTTTAAATATTGACAATTTATTAAATCAGTTCAAAAAATTAATAATTAGCATAGAGTGTAAACAAAGTAATATGATTTAGAATAAAAAGGGGAAACTGAATAACAGAAAATAATGAAGTAGAAAAGTACAAAGAATAAAATACAATTGTTTGAAAAATGAAAAAAGAAGAGAAAAAATAAATTTTTGGAAATGGGGAAGGAAAAAGGCAAAAGGTTCGCAGTTAAAGCAGACTTGTTTATTGTCTACCAAAGCACGTAATACGACAATCAAATTAACTTGCTAAACTGCCAGTGTAATGTATTATATGGGACATACTATTTTGGTAACAAAAGGATTAGCTCTATTGTTACAGAAGGTAAATAAAAAAAAGGGATTAAGTTCTTTTCAATTAATTTATTTCGAATTATGCTATCAGGAAATCTGGGAGCAAAAATATCCATTTAACTGATATTTTAATGCGGTAAAAGTATATTTACAGGTACCCCAAGGCGATTTTTGGCAGTACATGGATACCGAGTTTGTGTAATTCTTTGACTTGTTGTTTTGGCTTTGTGTAGCGGTGATTTTTAGGGCCAAAAATCGGCGCTACACAAAGACAAAATAACAAGTCAAAGAATTGCACAAACTCTGTATACATGTACACATTGACCTATTTTCACTTTAAAAAAAAAATCACAGAATTGCATAAACTAGGTGTTGCACACTTGCTTGACTTTATCCATGTAAACATCAACCTATTTTCACTTAAAAAACATCAAAGAATTGCACAAACTTGGCATTGCGCACTCCTTTGACTTTGTCCATGTACATGTCGATATATTTTCACTAAAAAAGTCAAAGGAACACCCAATTCTAGGTAAAAGTATATTTACGGAACATTCAACTACTCCGGTTACCATAAATGAAACAACAACTTCGTGATAATACAAGGGGTACACTTCAGTCTACTCTAACCATTAATGCTAGCTGTAAAAATTAGTTATCCATAAATAAATTGAAGTTATACTCTTAAAAATGACTGAACCAACTTTTATTTAACTGTAACTGAAATAATATGCCCACTCATAAGTTTTTGTCAAGGAGGAATTTCAGATTTGTGTTCTTACTGCAGATCTTCATCTAGATCTGATGTGTATCAAAACTTTCAAAAAGTTTTCAGATATGAAATCTAGATATAAAATCTTTTACTACTTTTAGAGTTATTTATCACTGGAAGATGGCAATAAAATACAGTGTTGATTAATAATTATAAGTATGTAGTGCATGAAATAAATATTTGCATAAATTTATAATATCAATCTTGAATAGTAGGAAATTACGTGCAAAAATTTTGGTTATTGCCCACTAGTGATATTAATGGTACAAGTATTAGGAATGTTTGCTCTTATGGTTTTCTGTGATGAATACTAGTGGGAAAAATTGGTATTTTTCTGATATCTGATTAAGAGATATATGTATATGTGTATGTGTATACACAGACATATGTACATACATTTCTGAATCTGGTTTTGATAACAAAAGAGTACACAAGAATTAAACAATTCATTGCATATCATATTTTTGTTATAAGGCCCATTGTAATATGTCTGTTTTTATCAAAATCTGCATGGGAATCAATATCTGTCTGCTAAAGAAAGTTGTTCATTTTGTTTTCTGTTAATTAACATTGTGATCATTTTTTAAAGGTTTGTAATTGCATACTATATTTGGCTTAATTCATTCATTGTATGTCATCGACTTTGGACCAATAAAGTATAAAGGAAATTCATGATTGTTAGAGCAGTGAATTACCTTCATTTAATCTCAAGATGTTACATTTAAAAGGTCTTTCATGCTTTTTAAATTTTAAAATATCAAGTTGCTATATTTTATTATTATTATTATTATTAGTATTATTATTATTATATTATTATTATTATTATTTTAAATTCTAAGTAATTTCTAAGTAATTTTTTTTTTTAATTTCAGATGATGCAGTTCCTGAGAAAGATTTAAAGAAGTCTCTTCAGTCTTTTGTTAGTAAGCCATCTAGTGTAGAAGATGTTAATACAGAGCAGAAAAAAGAAAAGCAAACTAACAGTAAAGTGAAATTAAGCATTCTGTTATGTCATATTTGAAAATTGCATAAATTTAATATTTGATTTTTATCTTTGCTTTCTCATACTTTAGTATAGTAGATAAAATTAATATATGAATTTCTTATATAAATATGTACTGCTGGCCATTAAATTTACTACATAATGAAGGAAAGCAGTGAAGCAGAATCATATTAATTTAATAAATGGATTTTAAAGAAAGATGAAATAATTAAAATTTTGGATAATTCTGAGGTACTGAACATGCAGAACAGTAGAAGCTCTTATATGGCATTTTGTAATATTGCTGTCTACAGTTTTGATCCTGTCCCAGAGCTCATCTGCCATACTAGCTGGTAGGAGTGTTCATATTAGTCTGCAGTCATTGACCCAACGTTTTCAGGTGGTGACATCAGGGAAGGCATCAGCTAAGGCAAGAGTCAAAGATCCCACTTATTGAGGAAATTTAGAGCAGCATTACTGCCATGCAAGTCTTATACTTGCTTATTGAAAGGTAATGTGATAGAGGCCTCAACAATGTGACATGACTCTTGGCACTTATTCCTCGGGCATTGTGAATGTGCTCATCAAAATACTGCATATGTGGACTAGAAGTGAATGGAATCAAATACATGCTTGGCTAGAATGGCAACGAAAAAGACAAGTTTCCAAAGTCATTCCGCTTAGTGCTTTCAGACATGAAGAATGTGGTCATCGTGATGCTGTATACAAAAGTGGAATTCATCATAAAAGACTATGTCAGGCCATTGATGCAACTATATACATTACAGTCAAAAGTCGTTAATCCAGACTCATCAGGATTTCGGCGATTCCGAATTATAGATCATCAGTTTAAATCTGGTAAGATGGCATGCAGAAATTATAAAATTAAAACTATGAAATAAAAAACAATTATGATCTAAAGGGTATCAAAATTTACAACAAAAAAAAAGCTTAATATTTATTTGTTTACTTTATTAAACATTTCTTTTCAATGTAAGTTGTTTAAGTTGCTTCGTTTTATGTAATAATACTTTTTAATTCTATAAACAGACATAATTTCTTGTTCAGTTACAAAGTTCCGCTGTTGAAGTCTTATAATTGCTGTGTCGAAAATACCGACTAATTCGTCGATCGAAATTTTTCCGTTTTCAATAACCTCTGTGTCACTTTCTTCACTATCAGAAGCGAATTATAATGACGAGAAATTTGATTTAAATGATATCAAAGACGGAGTATATCGAGATGAAATACTACATTTAGTAAGGAATTATAAGCCAAATAAAATAAAAACATCTGCCTTGAAGATAAGGATAGTGCTGACAGATCAACTTCCAATTCATTGCGTGCCACGGCGTTTCCCCTCCTCCCGCTGCAGATCAGCGTGAAATTGATAAACAGATTTCGGAATGGTTAGATAAACAAAGGATTATGCCTTTATCCATTTTTTGCAGCAATTCCACTTTTTGTTTAATGGACTTCGAAACATACTTTCACTTTGTAGACCCTTTACATATTAGTAAATATATATCGGAAATTCTATTTGACATAATCGAAAGTTCAAGCTTACTTTTATAAAATTGCTCTAACAGTCTGCAAAAAATAATAAGCCGGATCCAATTCGAAGATTAAGGAACAACGCAATCTGCAACATTAGATAATTTTAGCTTAGCTTATACCGTCCGTTATATATTAAACGCGCATGCGTAAACGTATTTTGCGTTTGCACACATGCATATTCACAGCCGTAAAGGTCTTACGCGCATGCATCAACGCGAGGCATGTGCAGAAAGTTTGTAGCTTTGAGGTCCGGATTATAGATCATTCAGGATTATGGGTGTCCGAATTAACGACTTTTGACTGTATTGAATACATGATTTTAGGTATTGATTCCTCTGTTACAGCACCAAAGAAACCTGAGACTGTGTGTGCAGGTACTTTGTGGTGTGTAGCATATCCAGTTTCCTGATCTTAGAAACATGAAGTAGCTATATGATACTTAACAATCATACAGACAAGGTGTGTGTCATCTTGCACATCAGTGAACTACTAAAATCCCACATATTCTTTTATGTGACCATCTTGGAATTTTCAGTTGCAAATTCTCTTAACAACCACTGGATATAGACCAACACAAGTAGCAGTTATACAGTGAGATAATTTGCAGGTGCTGTAGGTTATATTATTCATGCATGATTGAATTCTAATTTGTATGGATATGAGTTCCTTCTTCTTAAATAAGGTTTCTAAGGCAGAGCAAAACCTCACACACAAAAAAACAAGCTAGCACAGTTTCAGGAAAAATCAGCATATAAATCTGCTTTTTTATGCTGCTTCAAGTTGCCATCACTCTTGCCTGTAATATATGCCTGATGTGAAGTGCTAATTTCCATTTTCCAGTATGTTTTATGTTTCATGTAAATTTCTGATTTCCTTATGCTTCCTCCATGGTATAGCAGTTTAAATATGGGCAATTTTATTGCCCATATTTTGGAAACTTTTAATTATTATATTAATTTCTGATGCTGTCTGAAACACTTTGTTTATACATAACTTAGTGTATTTTAATATTGAAAATATTTTAATCTACTCTTTCTATTTGCTTCATCACCTCATATTACATTATGCTATTACAGTTAAATGATCCATTTGGCCTGACAAATTGCCAGTTACGAGAGTTGCACTGCCATTCCCTGGACATAAGATTTTTAATTTATTTTTCAAGTTATAGCATTTGTTTTTCATAGTGTTACAAATCAAATAACGCAGTTACACTATACCGAAGTTTTCGAAATGCTTAGTATTCTTTCATGTTTTTGGCCTTTAAAATTATAAAACTGTATACTTATCAGTGTAAAAAAATTAGCTATTTATGCTATAATATACTAACTACTAGTAATTTTTATGGATATCTATCATAAAGTATTGCAAACCCTCTTTTAAGTCGGCCAGTTACCCTATAAGAGGATTGGGGTTTTCAGTAGAATGGTTACCTTAGAAAGGCTGTGTTCAATATCAGTATTTATTTATGTTCTGAGAAATATTAGTCACTTTTAAATGTAATTTAAAATATAATATGTTACTGGCTATAGTATACTACAGTTTCTATAATGATTTTTAAAATGCTAGGATATTTCCAAATTTGTGCTGAAGAAACTTGAGACAGTTTGTAGGGGGGTGGAGAAAAAGAAAAAAATAAATCCACAGTTTATTCTATATTTATTTATATTAACAAAATACTACCATAAATGAATATATTACCTAACATAAATTTCCACTTTAGAGAAGAAGTATACATAACAAATGCATTTATTAGAAAAATTGCAACTTTAAAATATGTGCAATACAGTGCTTGTCGCCTATTTAACTCACTGTTTATCAAACAGTTGCTTATTATGTTCAAATTTTCAGAAGAAAAAATAAATATCTTATCAATAGGAAAACCAAACTCATCTCCACTGTTTATTAAATTCAGATTGACAAAAGACTAACTCTTCAGTGCCAGAAAATATAACTTGTACCTATCAAGCTTTTCATTTTTCATTCATGTATTGTATTGTGCCTTTAATATTCAAGCATGTAATGCTTAATTAAACACGTTTGACCGAAATTTTATTACCTCCTGATCCCTGTACCTTTAAGACATAGTTGTCAGAGATCTTTGTCTGAACTGGACTTCAAAGTAGCAGAATTTTGTTATCTTAAGGTTAACAAAAACAGTCTTGTAGAGACATTGTAAATGAGTTAGGATTCATTCTCTACCAACTGATAGGAGTTATAGAAGTGCAATTTCTTTATTTCATCTTTTAAGCTTTCTAGCATCAAAATTTTCCCCTTGGGATAAACACATTATGTTCATAGAGAGTAAACAACGTTCAAGAAAAGGAAGGAAGTATATTTAATGAAGAACTAATAAAAAATGAAAATGTCTCAAGGAATTGCAAAAAAGACAGAAAATCAGGAGATGTTCAAATTGCTTTTCTAGAATGTTTTCAAGCTATAAAGCTAAAAAATATTTCTGTTTCTAGAGCTTTTTTCACTGATTTGCTAAATGCTAGGAGAGAACTTTATGTCACCTGACATATGGGTCACAAGTTGGCAAAAGTGAAATCCAACATTATTCATCAGAAATTGCATGAGCAGAAGCAAGAATAAGATCATCAAGATTCTTTATTTGTGCTGTAAAATTAATACAAGCCACGTGAAATTTAAATATGCACAAAACTTGACTGCATTAAGAAGTACTGCAGTACCAGAACACACATTAATATTTAAAAGCAAAGCAGCATTTGGTTTAAGAAACTGAAGAAATAAGTTACTGTGTGATTAACATGCAATTTTACTCAACAAGACTGTGTGCGTTATTGACAAAAACATAAAATCTCAGTGTTTGAAAGGTGTAAAGAATTTACTTCTAACATACCATACCAATGAGAATGCATGAATGATAAATAAAATTTTTAGTGATTTTCTTTCAAAATACGAGTGAACTGAAAAAGGAAAAAATAGCTTTATTAATTAAATAACCGTGCAGTGCACTTAAAAACAGGATGTCTTCCTTCAAATACAATTTCTAGCATTCTATCTTTAATTTCAGGACATTAAAAAAGCTTTCGAATGTCTATGAAAAGATGTTCAATAAATAATGAACAAAACTGAATTTTGTGAAAATGCAAGCACTTTGAAGGAGGTAACTAAGTGGATATCTCTGCTAGAAGCCATGCATATTACATTATGATCTTATAAAATCAGTTAAAAACTGTCTTAAAAAATTTGGCTTTATGTAGAAGAATCGGAGAAATTTCAAACAATAGCTTTTCTTTCTGACATCATTGAGGTTATGAAGTTTCATTTCTTAGAATGTGTGTCAGTTCACTACTAAATTCAGACAATGTGTATAAAAACTATAAAAGTATTAAAAGAACTGCAGAAACTGACAGTAAAAATGATGCACCAGAAAGGGATAATATGTGGTCAATAATCAAATCAAGAAAAGCACTGCAA